TTTTGTTTTTTGATAGCGCTCCAAGAAAGTAAATTCTCTCCATGCCAAATAGTTTCAAGACTAGACCCTGAGGTTTGAAAATCAGAGGGAAAATATTTTGTGTTGGATGGCAGCTCCAAAAAAATCTAGAGATCACACCAGACAACTAATTTCTCTCGAAGCCAATAACTTAAAAGCTAAACCCTGCACCCTAAACCCGCCCGAGTTCTCTAAAAAGTAAAAGCTTACTAGGCTTGAGGGCTTAGGGTTTTAAAGGGTCTTAGGGGTTTAGGGGTTTAGGTCTTAGGGTTTAGATACCTCCTGCACCCCAAGCTGTCTTGGTCAGGGCCCCGTCAGGAATCAGGAAAGGTTCTTCTTCGCGCAGGAGGTCTACGCTGGAGGCGGGAAAGACGCTGAAAGAGTGTCTAGGGCGCTGAACAAGTGCCGAGGGCGCTGAGTAAGTGCCGAAGACAGAGCGCTGCGCTAGTGCTGGGGCGCTGAAGAAGTGCTGTCATCCTGGCAGGCTATGGTTGGGTCGCTGTGCCCCCTAAACCCTAAACCCTAAAACACAGTGCTGAGCACGGGGCACCGGGGCTCCCCATAATAAGACCATGTTGTTGGAATCCTATGACGCAATGTTGTTGAAATCCTGAGCCAGCAGGCCGCCCAAAACCCTAAGCCCTTTAAAAGTGAGTTGCAGGACACCCTGCAAACGCGCCTCCTCATTTTTTTGGATCCATGGTGTCTCAGCCTCAGCGGGCATCAGCATGGCTTCTGATGACAAGGGAAGATGATAATGTGCAAGGGGAAAAAACGCAGGGCAATCATATAGAACCGCCCTCACATGAGTATTTGACTGACATTCACTCAGCGGGGTTTGCTCCAAATGCAGCCCAATTTCCCCAAAGACGCCCCAATATTCCACAAGTTTTAATACATGTGGAATTACAATACTAGTAATAATGTCTGTTGTTAAGCCCTTGCTGTCGCTGTACTGTGGACACTTGTTCAGCGTCCCTTAGACACTTGCTCAGCGTCGGAAAAGCTTCCTAAGGCTCTCGTTGGTTGAGGCCGCCGCATGCTCGAAGATCTGTTCGGTTCCTCGGCAGCGCACAGAAGTCTGTATCAGTTAGGCTCTTGGGACTGAAGTTGAGAATCCTGCTGAGAATTTCTGACATTCATGCCAGGGTCCGAGGCTGCTTCAAAAAGCGGAGACACATAAGGTGCTCAGCGCGCTGTACATTAAATTAAAAACCAGCAGCCTGTCACTCTACAGAGGCCTTCGCGCTGTCATAGACATGTGTGTGTGTTGAGTAACAACCGACTAGGACAAGGATTCACATCTTCCGGTATAGTAGTTCTAAACTAACCATTACAGTATTACAGGGTGCCTGGCTGCAATCAAAAAACCGGGCGACTCCCAGTGTAGCAAGGGCCTTGCTAGGAGTGCCTGTCAAAAACCAGCAACCAGGATCTGATAGTATGCAACTAGCGTTTGATTCCTCAACCTCCCTAGCCCAGCGTGGCCCCGCAGCACACTAAGCCACTAAGCACGGCATCCAGAGCTGCGTCATCGCATTATTGCAAAGGTCCGGAACTAGGTTCATCATGAGACAGGTCTGTAGCCAGGACATACCGGATATTGTAGTCTTAGTAGCTAGCGTTCACCAGCTCTTCAACCTTCATACTCCGCCCGCCGCTCAGTCTTTTCCAGGCCATCTCACCTCTGAAACAAAGCTTCCCACACGCTAACTTGGGGGCACAGACTGCCTGGCCTTCTAGTCCTTCTGCTTCTTCTCCTTCTTCTTCTTCTTTTTAACCTTCGTGTCCTTCTCCGAGTCCGCTTCTCCATCCTGACGCAATCCAACATTCAGGACCTAAAAGAGTAAGCTGTGGGCACTCAACTCTGCCTTGTGCTTTGGAGATTCCGCACGCTTTCTTGCCTGGCTGCTCGCTTACGTGTAATTAATTGACTTTCAACTACTAAGCAAACTGCCTTCTTCGGCGGCCCCTCAACCTTCTCAGCCTTGTCCTTTTTGACCTGGTCAGCGAAAGTTACGTTTGCTGTCTTTGAATCTTGAGCCCGTGCCTCGTTGGCCGGCGTCTTCTTCACGGGCCCACCCTCATTGTCATCCGTCTTCTTGACTGGCTCCCCCTCATCAACCTGCAGGAGTTGCGCAGAAAGCAAGTCAACAGCAGCGCCGAAAAGAAACCTGGCCTTGGTCCCACTGGCTACGGTGGCAGCCGCCTGTCCGGCCAGCAGCTCAAGAAAACGAGCTGAAAGCATGTCCCCTTGCGCCTTCTTGATCTCATCCTCATAAAAGCTGACGATGATCTTGTTTTCCTGGCGCTGATGTCAAGGCTAGGGAAGGGTTCACTGTTCAGCTTGGTTGAACGCTGACTGCCATGCCTCCTTGGCGTTCTTCACCTCCTTCTCCAGGGCTTCGTTGGCCTGAAACGGGACACGTTCATTGCACTGAGGGGGCGAGGTGGCGCCCAGCCTTCTTCAGCTGGACCCGCTCGTTCCGCAGCTCATCTATCTTTGTAGTCATCTCTTTTTCCTGCTTCACGAACTTGTCCTTGGCATCCATCCACGGCTTAAGGTCTGCTGCGGTCGCCATCTTCTTCTTCTGTTCTTCTGCCTCCAGCTTGGCCTTGAGTGTCCGGATCTCGGCCCTCAAACCATCCTCCTCCGTCTTGCGCTGGGCCTTCAGAGCATCGATCTGCTCCTGCTTCTTGCCAGCTCCGCCTGGTGGTTGAGCGCCATGGCTGCCGCCTGCGCGAGCATGTCACTGACCTTTTTCTGGTGCTCCAAGGCCATGACTCGCTTCTCCAGCTGGCACTGCTCCTTGACTTCCTCCAGCCTGTCCTCAAGCCTTTTGATGTCCAGCTTCGCGCGGTACAGCTCGCGCCGGCGATCCTGCGCCTTGTCCCCCCTGTGGCCCGGAGGATGCTGCCAGCGATGACTTCGGGCCTGATCTTGCTGGTCCGACTGAGTCTGCGCGCCCTGCCACTCCTCCGTTGGGTTCTGCTGGTTCTGCGCGCCCTGCCTGCCCTGGGTCTCAGCCCACTGTGTATGCTGCCACTGCGGTGCCACGGAAATGTCTGCCTACTCAAGCTAGCTAGGGACGCAGGTGATGGCTTTCAAGTGCACGCGTGCAGAGTTTCTGTCACTACATCATCCTGGAATGAAACCTTACGCTGCGCCATGACGGGCGAAGGACTAGAGGTACAGCAGACAGTAAAGAATCATGAATGTTTCTGTGCTTCCATGCTACGGGCTACAGCGGGCTACAGCGAGTTTTCTAATTTTGATGAGTACCTGGCAAGACCTGTGCACTTTCACGACCATCATACCAGCACTGATTCTGCGCTCTGGGCCAAAACTGACGATATTAAGGTGTACATTAAGATCTCAAGGTAAAGCTCTGTCCACACTCAGCGCACTGATCTCGTCTCTTGAGGTTGTGGCAACCCGGCCAACGTGGAGGCGCCTGGCAGCAGGCTCTGGCAGAGAAAACTCCGCAGGAGATAGGGTTCGAGGTTGAGGGTTTAGGGTTATAGTGTTAAGTGTGAAGTACGCTGTCGGTAAAGCTGTCTGGGGCCTAGAATATCTAGCGCCTGAATGCTTGTCCTAGACCCTGCTACAAAGTTGGTCCGCTGGGCCTCGTTCCCCTGTCTTGGCCAGGAAGAGACAAGCCTCTGCAGGCGCTGCAGCACCTGTCGAGGCTGGCTATAGGCTTATTATAATCGTGCGAGAGCACTGGACAAGTGCTGCAGCGCTGAACAAGTGCTTAGACTGCCTAATTTCAAGAAGAAGTGTACATCACACAAGCGACCTGCCACACTCATACATGTCCGAGCTCGAGAATCTAGCTCTGCAGAGATCTGATCACCGCTGCTTGCTCCCAGGCTGTCCTGATTGACGCAGGCTCGAGCAGTGTCCGCTCCTGCCTAAGCAGATTGTCCGAGGAAAGGCTCCGAGCACTGTGGTCAGGCGGCTGCATTATGATGATCCGTGCATAATCCAGCTTGATTAGCTAATCCGCTGTATGACTACAGTGATTCTTCTGATTCTAAAGGACGGTGCAAGGGAACTGCGCTATCTGCTGGATTTCTTTTGCGAGGTACACACGATTGATTGTAACTTTGCGGGTCAACCCTGACACCGCCTGAGTGCTTCCATCACACACGTAATATGTCCAGCGCAACATTCCAAGAAAAGCCAGCTAGGATCTTCTGGGCGCCCGCGCCGCAACGGTGGGAGGCCTGGCGACATCCACGTATTTTGCACCAGAGCACGCTAGGCTTTGAGCTTCTAAGTTAGCTTGCTTCAGATGCACTGACACTTCTGCAGCGTCCGGGCTGACACTTCTTGCAGCGTCATGGTCTGCGTGTGCGGCAGGTGGGATTTCGGGGGTGTAAGGCAGGTCAGGGCAGGTCTCCTAGATCTGAGGGTTTCAAAATTAGTAGGGTAGGGTCAGGTCGCCTGCTGGTTAAGGTGATTGGTTGAAGTAGGCCATGCTAGCGGCTTACTAAGACATGATGCCTACTGTGGAAATGAGGTATTAGGGGCATGTCGCCTAATGGGGGCTGCTGGTTGAGGTGGTTGGTTGAAGTAGGCTGGGTTTGGCGGGTCGCCTAATGGGGTATTAGGCGCTTTCCCTAAGTTTTGCGTGGAGGCGCTGCTAAAGGAGCTCTAGAAACCCACTCAGAGAACATAACGTTCAAGTCCATCACTGTCACAGCTTGTGTAAATTCTAGAAGCTACCGCAGGCTTTTTGGCGACCTGCCTTCCAGGCAATGCCACCGCTAGGACAGGCGTGCTCACTACCAGGTGCACAATGGGGCGCCTGGAGGCAGCACGTGCTTCGCAGCGGCCCTTCCTGGCTGTTCGTCCTGGTGACTCTCACGCATGTTTTGTGCTGCCGTGTAAGTGAGATACTTGCACTGCGACGCATGGACTTCGATCTGCGCCACCGACGTGCGCGCATCTGTCCACTGAAGCGGCGACCGGAGGCCAATAATAATAATGAGATAAGGCATTGAAGCACAACAAGCAACAAGAATACAAACATACACGTAGCCACAGTCATAGTGACGTAAGGCTTAGGCACTTAACTAGGAGTCAGTATAGTATAGGGCGTCCCTGGGTCACTAATCTCCCCCACTCCTCCCGCCTGCGGCGAATCGCCTTCCACCTGGCTCAGGTCCGAAAATGGTTGCTGGCTAAAGCGCTGCAGGTGATCAAGAACTTCCAGAAGAATGGAGTCAAGCGCTGGAGGACAAAAACTATGGGCATGCGAGGACAGGAGCGCATCTGCGATCACTGGAAGTGGCCATCACGCGCCAGTGGCTTTTTGTTCCCATCCAAGTACAAGCCGGGAAGACCCATGTCCAAGGATGTCGTCTCCCATGCCATCGTAAAGGCACGTCGTTCCTTCAACCTGCCATGTGTGAACACAGAATCCATCAGGAGCCACTCCGGCAGGCACAGGTTCATCAACGATATGAAAATGTGCAATGTTCCGTGTGAAGCCGGGATGCTTCAATCGCGGATCAAAGACTTCAAGACTTACCAGTCCTACGGCAAGCCCAATGAAGAGCAGGTGGCTAGGACTCTCGACAAGAACCGCTCCCTGAAGCGCACCATGGAAACGGTCTACCAAGGCAAGCGGTAAGCAAGTTCCTTTGTTCCGCAGGTCCAGACGGCAGGACTCCACAGGCATTCAATGACAGCTAATGCAAGGCATCTCTCCGTGCAGGAGCAAAATTCGCGCGACCTTGCTTCATTAGTCTTTCTGCGCTACAGTTACACTTTGAAGCCAATGGCTGGCAGCACTGCCCGCAGAATCCTAGCAACGACCGGCACACAGAAGGCATTGCCGGCCATCTCAAATAGATGCTTGTCACTGGCGTCGCGAGGCAACATGCTTCGCTGAATGCCCTGCGCAGCCAGCACCTCAGAGGGCCGAGCCAGATCCTGCAGATGCGTGAGCCATAGATCGCCTGCGTGACTCTTGGTGATGGTGCCAAACTTGTCGTAGCAGACATGGACCCCGAAACTTTGGCTGTTCTTGAGATCTACCACGAAGCACTCCGTCGCAGGATTCTTCCCTGGCCATTTCTTGCGGATGAGGTCCATGGCATCAGCAAGGTTGCGAAGGCCTGTGTCGGTCACCTCAGTTACTCCGTGGAGCGGGACGTGGGTAGAATTTACTCAACGAAAAATTTGCATTTCAGTGATTCTCCCAACCCCAACCCTATACCTGAAGCAACAGATCATTCAGGGAATGAAATCATAGAACCCTACTTACTCAGTGCAGCCACAATGCTGCACCATGCGTGTAGGCGTCAAGCACTTTGTAGTCCACGTAGTAGTGACCGTGCCCAATGCCCATCAGCAACTGTAGGCAGTCTTTAGCCATGTCACGGTGCCTCGCGTCCTCCGCGAAATTCGGCACATTCTCCAACAGAAAGACATCCGGTCGGGCACTATCGATGGCAAGAAGCACAGCCCACAGAGGCCTGCTTCGGCTGTCCAGCGCGCCTCGGCGTGCTCCGCTGGGGGAGTAAGGCTGGCAGGGAAAGCCCGCCATATAAATCAGCAGCTGCTCGGGGTCTCTTCTGGCCACAAAGTCCAGAGCGCTTGGCAAACGCTCGCAGACGTTTGGATACACTGTCGCGCACTCGGGGTGCGTCTTCTCCAAGATCGTCCGATAATTAGCATTCACCTCGCTAGCCCACAGGTGCTGAAATTGCAGGCCGAGGCTTTTCAGCGCCAGCGCTCCACCATCGAGGCCAGAACAATCGCTGGCATAGCTCAGCCGCATCCGAAGCCCACGCACAGACGCGCCTCCCAGCAAGGGCTTGTGCTCTGCAGCAGGGTGCGGCGCGGGCAACTCTGGAGCAGCTGAAGCGGGCCGCTTCATAGCCGCTGCCGGCCGCTTCTTAGCCGATGCCGGCTTTTTTGTGGTTCTCGGATTCCTCGAGGCATCATGTAGCACGTCTTCAGAGCGAATGGTGATTTCACCGCTGGATTTCATCTTCGCATTCTTGACCATGGCTGTCTCACTGGGGAGCTGCCAAAAGCTTGCTTGGCTCTGCAAATGAAACTGGCGGCATCGCTTGTCAAAACTCCGCAAACTTAAACATGCCTTCCGCTCCAAGGACTTGCGCACGCATAACAAGAACTGAGTCTGACATGATTTTCATGCCTCCGCGAAGCTATCTTGTGATTGTGGCACTTGCCCTTCCCCAGGACATGCCGCCGCTCTTAGAGCTATTCAAGACCATGGATGGTGCTTTACTGGCGTTGCTGGGTCACTGTACGATTTGCGCCGGCAGTACGCCTACACTGCTAACCTTGCTGTTAGCAAAGTATCCGCGGTCTCCCGAACTAAATCTCAAGTAGCTGCAGAGACTAAGTAGTCGCTAACCTGTTTGGTCGAGACCGCGGGTGCGAAGCTAGGAAAATGTTGCGTGGCCTCGCCGGCACAGATTCGTCACCAAGAAATGTAAATGACCTACTGGCCTTTTCGTGCACAAGTTTGGCAAATGCAACTGCTTGCATACTATACTGATTAGAACACAAAAAGTGTGCCGGGGCCCGCCCTACCGTCATGTTCTCATGTCAGCTGTGACCAGCTGCCTAAGCTTGGCCCATAAGCCTTCGCAACAGCTCCTCACGACTACTGGGATTGCCTGCCGCCGGAGCTGGGTTGCTTGGCGCGGGAGCCGGGCTCGGCACAGGAGCCGGGCTCGGCACAGGAGCCGGGTTGCTGCCGCCGGCGGCGACGATGGGCGCCGAGGAGCCCTCCACAGAAGCCCTTGCCTGCTGCAGCTCGTTGGTGTAGGCCACGTCGTACAGGTCGTCGTTCGAATCCACCATGCCTTCCAGCGTCAAGCTCACCAAGCGCCTGGTCAACAGATCCTTGTGGCACTCAGCGTGGCAAATGCCGACATAGGGGCAGCGATTGCGAATCGCCACCATGCACCAGGCACCACTGCCAGCTGAGAGGTCGACTATGGCGGACGCCTGCAAGGCGTGCGCCAGCTCTTGTGCTACAATGGGCGTGCTTTCGTGGAAAAAGACCGGCACCATGTCTTCGTTTTTGATCGGAGGATCCTTGTCGTGTTCGGCGCAGGTGCCACCGGGCAATGGCATGTTGGATGCCGAGAACAAGGATTTTTTCTGCTTGTGGCACAAGGTCCACGTGAGCGCAGGGTCACTCCACGGTGTCTTTGCGACTGGTCCGAGCACGTTGGCCCGCGTAGTCCCGGGCAAGAGCTTCCTCGGCTGCACCTGAAGCTTCGGCAGTGGGCACTTCTGCATGAGTGACAAAAATCGGATTATACACTGACACAACTCTTTCATGATTTGGCACTCGAGCCTTGCAAAAAAGAGGCTCCGTGGAAATCATCAGCGCCCTCTCGGTGACATCTAGAATGGCCTGCGAGGATCTCTGCAGCCGCCCCTCGCACGAGTCTTGGGTGTACACCACCAAGTGCCGCGCAATCTCCGCACTCTTCTGCATGCCCAGTGCCTTCAAAACAATTGGCTCCACATTGTCCTTGCCGGCATCCAGGCAGACAACTATGTCACCCTCGCCCAAAGAGCCCCCGCGTGCTTCCAGAACTGCTTTGAGAAGACGCTGGACCTGAGCTGGCCGAGTAGGGGGAAGGCGATATCGAGCTTGCGTGCCTGCCTCGCACAAACTCTTCACGTCCAGCACAATGATGACATAGGACCTGCCCTCTCGACTTCCTGCGATTTGACAAGCCTTAGTCGCAGCAAGCTCCGCCCCCAGCCCGTCCTCCTTGTCCACAAGTAGCGTCACTTGTCCATGGACCCTCCTCCCCGCTGCGGCGACACCGCTGCTGATCGCAGCTGCTTGCGGGTGGTCCTTGTTAGTAGCCAGGAAGGTCTCTGCCGCGCTAAGATTCATGGACTCCATGTCAGCCAGTGCGGTCGCGAGAACCACCTCCTCGGGCAGCTCCACCGCCTCGTCAGCCTGGATGCCGCATTCCTTGTCATAGGCAGCCTTGACGCTATCCATGCGTTTCCTGCAGAGCTTACGGATAGGGCCTAGACCTGATAAGCTAGGGTCAAGGGCCTACGGCGGGAGCAGCGGGCACAAACCCATGCATTAACAAAGAACCACACGTCCTGGTCTCCGGCAATGTGAGAACTTCCTCTGCGGCCTTGCGGTTCCGGATGATGCTGCAGAAGCTATCATCGTACTGATAGCCAAACACCAGAGTCTCGAAGACCATGAGGAACCTATTAGCCGATTCTGGCCAGGAGGCTCGTGTCTGGTACGCCACCTGGGGTTGCACTGCCGCGTCCAAGAAGCCGAGCAACTCACGAACAACTTCCACGGACTCCGTGACCCTGCGAATCTCGGACTTCACGGAGGTCTCCCAGTTGTAGTTCACATCCATGAGACGCCAAAGATGCTCGCGCAACGTGCGCTTCATGAGGAACAAGCGCACGTAGGAAACATGCTCCGGCGAGCCATCCTGCAAGGACCTCAGGGGGATGCTCTCCTTCACGTGCTTGGCCTCAGGCCCATGCTTTTCAAGTGCTTTCAGCAGCACCACGTTTTCGTGGTGGTCATAGAGGAAGGAGAACACCCAATGCATCCTCTCGCGATGCTTGTCGCAGCCCAGCATCACCAACCTAAGCTTGTAGAGGGAATCCAAGGGATTGTGGCTCAGGTTGTCGAACGCCTGAAGCAGCTTTGCGATTTCGGGATGCACAAGGACGGCATTGTAAACCGTGACCGCATAGCCAATGAATGTGCTGGAAACTGGCTCGCTCATCTTGGCGAATTTTATCCTCTGGTAGTTGTCCACCAGGGTCGTGACACTGACCGTTGCCTTGCCGTCGCTGCCGCTGACCTTGGACAGCTGGCGTTTGAAGTCCATTACCTCGTAGACCCTGAGTAGGGAGGTCACGCGAGAATTCTCGCACTTCACACAGACATCTTCACGGCCTTGGACGAGGGACTGGAAGACCTTGGCCATCCTATTGCCCTCCATGACCTCGAACTGCACGTGAGTGGACATCAGTACGCGCAACCAAGCCTTCAGTCTAGACTTGGGAACTTTCGCATCAATGTCCGCAGCAATGGCCATGCGAAGCGCGTCTCGCATTTCTGGAGGACTGATGGACTGCAAAGTTCCGGGGGCCTTGTTGGGATCGGGCACCTTGTCCGCGGCATCGACTGGCACCAGAAACATCATGTCGGCCCAAGACGGCTCGCTGAAGAAATGTTCCACCAGGCTCTGGATCCGCTTGCGGCCATTGGAAGCCAAGCAGGACATCGCCAGCTTCTGTCGAACGGCTGCAAGCCGCAGGCGGCGGTTGCCGGTTCTCCCAAAGCAGTGCCAAAGTAGCCCTTGATCGTGGCATCACAGGCCGCAAGGAATGCCTGAAGCTCCGCATTGACGCTGCCGCTCTCCATCGGCGACTCAGCAGACTTCACAATCTTGGCCCTTGGCGCACCGGCACTAGACGTAGCACGCTTGCCCATGATGCCTAGACGAGATCCGAAAGCTAACGACAAACGAGAATAGCTGGAGAACAGACGGCTGAGGGACATCGCATGGCCCTGAAGCACGGCAAGAGCGCATGCATGCCAGCGCAAATCACTAATTCAGTCCGGGGCGCCCCGGTCTGATGTAAGCAAATGGTGCCCGAGAATAGCGTGACCAGCTTCTCTCAACGATGGGCCGCTGCTGACCCTACTGCATGCTTAGCGGTACCGCAATGGGCTGTTCAAGCTCCGGGGCGCCCCAGACTGTTGAAGCACGCTTCTCCAGAGATCTTTGCTAGTTGCCATCCTTACCTGGATTTCAGGGCTCATGTTTTCTTAGCACGCCGTGCCTCTGGATTGATCCCGCGCAGACGGAGCTGCCTGCGCATGGCACGCTTGTCCGAAGAGTTTGAGTCTGAACCCTGACTTTAACGTAGATTTATAAAAAGCTTAACACCCTAAACCCGCTTTCTGAATTGGATTGATTGTATACTACAATGTTTCTGGAGCCATGCTATTGCTGGTATAGGGCTGGGCTCGTGGCGCTGAAGCTTGATCGTTAGAGCATCTTCTCGGCAATAAGGAGCATGAACCCACCCGCGGGCCCGCTAAACCCTAAACTAGAGAGTAACTACTGTTACTAAACTGCTTACCTTCGAAGTTACTTTGCTACTGCTGCTACCTCAAAGGTCTGGACTCCGAGCCTCGGCTCGGCTCGTGGCATAGATGAGGCCTGGCATGCAGGGTTCAGGATCTGAAGGGGGAAGGCCGAGCCAGCTCCGAGATGCTTCAAATGAAACCCCTTAGAAGCCCTAAACTCTAAACGCTAGCGGACCCAGATGGGTATGGCGGAAGCCATGTTCTTAACGGTTTAAGGGTGCCTTCGAAGGAAGAAGCACTGCAGCCGGATGGCAGCTGCCTAGTGCGGAGTTGCATGGTACGGTCACAAGGCTTGTTTAAACTCCTTCCCCTGCCCTCCTGCTGTGCCTGGCTTCGTGCCTTCGGCCTCGGTTAGGGTTTAGGGATAAAAGTTTAAAGTTTAGGGTTTAGGGTTTAGGGTTTAGGGATTAGGGTTTAGGGTTTAGGGTTTAGGGTTTAGGGTTTAGGGTTTAGGGATTAGGGTTCAGCATCTCAAGTCC